CCCCCCCAGAACATTCATCTTCCTTGCACCTCTCTGGCTTTTCCTTACTCGACTTTTCATAGAAATGTGGAACGGTAGCAGAGCACAGGGCCCTAGGTGTGTGGTATCTTCCAAGGAGCACCCATGCTGAGCCAGGGTCAGAGGCCCAAGGTCACACCACTGGTGGGCGGAGGCTCACCAGGCCCAGGCTGTGGGCTCCCCCCAGGCCCCCCAGGGCATCTCCAGACTGGACACTAGAGAGGTGGGGCTATGGACGTGAGCCCCTCTTGAGTCACATTCCTCCGGACTAGGGACAGGGCTGCCACTCCCACAGGTTCCCAATAAAGATCAGGAAAGCTGAAGTGTGTTGTCCCTGCAGTGTGTGTGTGTGTGTGTGTGTGTGTGTGTGTGTGTGTGAATGCCACAGGGCCTGACAGCTTCAGCTCTCAGGCCACTAGGCCACATCTCCCCTGCTGAGCTGTGATACTGCCATCTGCTGGCTGCAGGAAAACCTGGCACAAAGCAGTCTGGTCATTCAGGGAAGAGGGTTTGAGTGAGCCGCTGTTGTCTGTCTGCTTAAGCATCCTGAAGGGAACGAGTCAGGGCTTTACCCAGAGATTCAGAACGCTGATGCCAACAGACGTGACAAGATGCTTGACTACATGAAGAGGCCATTGCCTGCAAGACAGGCAGTGTGTATGGTGTATCTGAGTGATCGCACCTGAGGAGCCTGGGACCATGTGCAGCCTCTGGGGGTGGGGGGAGGTGTGGGAGGTGGCAAGGCACAGGTGCCGCTTATCAAAGTCCTGGAGTCGTGTGCGTGATCATCATCTCTGAGGAAGGAAATTGTTTTCCTCCTATTTTGCCAGTTTCCTCCGCCATCCACGTTAGTACTTAAGTAAGTACTAGTACTTAAACTTAAGTCAAAAGAAGTTAAGGGAGAAGGAGGTAAGAAGCTCTCTGCCACAGTTTGCATGTGGAATTTCCCCCCAACAGCTCCTGCCCCCAGCTGGTGGTGCTCCTGGGAAGCGGCGGGGTTGTTAGAGGGAGGGACCTGGCGGGAGGAGGTTAGGCCATTGGTGGCAAGGCCTTGAAAGGAGATATTGGAGCCCCGCCCCTCCTCTTTCCCTGGTTGCTATGTGGCTAGCCGCTTCTGTGCCAAACAGATCACCATGATGTCCTGCTTGCCGCAGGCCCGAAGGCTATGGGATCAACTGACCATGGCCAGAAACCATGAACCAAAACAGTCCATTCCTCCTTGTGAGTTCATTTATCTCAGGAGCTTTGCCCCAGTGATGGAGACCTGCTGAGCACTCTTGAAGAACACTGAGTTTCACGTTTCATGTATATCCATCACCACAATCAACTGTTCTCCGGACCTGTCAACCTCGTGGCAGGCGAAGCCAGCTCTCCACTCCAGCCAGGTGGGACCCTGGCCGTGGGTCTTTCCACCAAGACACCCTAGGGACCAGGGACCTCACTGCCATCTCCTGGCTGGGCGGTGTTGCCCACTTGGCAAAGGGACAATTATGGGATCTATTTCCCAAAGCTGCTAGAACTTTATGTTTCTACATACAGAGCATTTGCTGTGGTCCTGGCACAGGACAGGCAGGATTCCTCGTGGCAGGGGTGAAAGTCAGTTCCCCAAGCCCTGGCCTGGTCCTGGCCCTGCCTGCTGGCAGACCTTCCGGGGAAGCTGCTGAAGTGCAGATTCCTAGGCTGTGACCCACAGAACCAGCGCTTACAGACACCCGCAGACACATGCTTCCACAGAGCTTCCGAAGCACGGAGCCCCATGGAGCCCCACGGAGCCCCACAGAGCAGGATGGGTTCTCTGAGGTCCTTCCAGCTCAGACCCTGTAAGACTGAGAGTTTTCTGACAACTTGCCCGGTCTCCTGGCCACTGCTCTCCAATTCTGTAATGAAAAGCAGTGCTAAACCCGGCAGCTTCTACAGGAACCTCATCAAGCTCTGTTCTTGGAGGATCGTGGCTGAATAGAACCAAGATTCCATGCTATTTTGTAGAGAAGGAAGAGCACTCATCACACAGCTGGCCAGTGACAGAGCCAGGAACACAGCGTGGTCTCCTGACTCTGAGGTCAGTGGTGTGGGCATGAGCACATGTACACACACACACACACACACACACACACACACACGCACGTGCGCACGCATGTTCTTGCTGTGTGCCCACTGTCTGACATGTTTCTGAAGCTGGCACTGCAGATGGCCAAGCCGTTTTTCACCTGTTTAGATTTTTTATTTATTTATTTACTTAGGATAAGGCTTTGGGGAACGAGAAAGGATGGAGAATGTAAATGAAGAGTTTGGTCTTAAATTTTCTCGGGTTTTAGTGTCCCCACAAGCAGACAGCATGAAGAGCAGAGGCCAGTGCCCCCGACTCACAGAGCCTGGATGGAGGTAGCGCTCTGCCGCTGCTTGCTGTCAGCAGCTGGATGGCGCCAGGGACTGTGTTCTGAGCAGCCAGGAGGAGCGAGCAGCCGCAGGGCAGGAGGGGGCTGCGGGAAGCTTAGTGTGGGAGCTGTTGGCTTGAGAAGTGTACACAAGGCTGGACGCAGCTTGTGGGCACGCCATTCCAGAGGTCTGGGGAGAGGCCCTGGGCAGCACAGCCTGGGGGCCTGGGCAGCCATCGGTCATGAGGCGAAGCTCAGCGTGGCCAGGGCCTGTGCCATGGGGCACCTGACTTGGGAGGTGGAGTGGGGAGGGCTGGGGGGGGGCTCACAGGGAGCAGAGGGAGAGCCGGTCTCTTGCGGGGGAGAAGGATGGAGTACCACCTCTAGCCCAACCAAGTGAGGGACTGGGAACCCATGGCTGGGGTTAGAGAGGTGGAGGCTGCTGGTAGTTTAATTGCAAGTGTCTCTGTGGAGTGCGAGGACATAATCTGACGGCCAGGGTCCAGGGGGACAGCGGGTCGGAACATCCGAGTCGTTCATAAGTTACTCCCCAAAGTGAAACATTCACTGGGGGCCTGGGAAGCGCCGGGCACCTCCGTGGGGACACAGGAAGAGCACAGAGGCTCACGTGCCGTATCCTGCGAGGTGCGGCAGGCTCAGGGTCTGCGGCACGGGTGGCAGGATTGGGGGTGCGGAGGCTGCAGGCACGTGGCTGGGGGCAGGAGGCCTTGAGGAAAGCCCTTTTCTGGTGTGTCTATTCTAAGGGCAACAGGGAGCAAGGTCCAAGTGGGAGGAAGAGGAATGAGAAGCGGAGATGGGGGACAGCCACCAGGACGGCAGGGAGCGGCAGGGAGCCGGAACGCGGCAGGGAGCAGGGCCGCTTCACGCCAGCCAGCCGGAGGCAGACGCCGCAGACGCAGCGTGCAGCTGGGGGCCGGCCAGGTCCCTGAGAGGACAGGGGCTCGGGGCTTTAGGGATGAGCCAGCTGGAGAGGCCGCGGGAGGGAGGGAAGCCGGCCCGCTGTCTCACCCCCTCACGCGCCCATCCTCTTAGAAGTGACTCCACAACGCACTGCTCCGTGAAGATGTTCTCTGCCGACGAGGATTTCACCTGCTGCCGGAGCACACTTCTGAGTCAGAAGGCTCTGGAACATTCAAGGATCATCCATGTTCTGCCGGCTTTCCACGCCTCTGGCCTCCGACCTCGGCCCGACATTCTAGCCTGGGCTGTGGACTGTGGGTTCCACCCAAGGCTCCCAGGCCTGCGGGGAGGGAGGAGGAAACGCAGGCGGCTTCCGTGCGTCCTTAGGGCCTGGGATGACATTGATTACAGGGAGGAGGGCTGCTGGAGTCAGGCGGTGACGCAGCCCGCCCAGCGCTCCTCTCTGAAGTCACGCCTCACTCGCGCTTATTTCCTCACTGTCCAGAGGGGCTGAGGAGCCGAGGCCTTACACCTTATTTTTTGTAGCACTTCCAATGAATAAAAATGCTGGAGAGAACGTTCATTACATAGAAAACACTCATTTATTCAAATTAAATTACTGAGTTCATATCCAAATAGAATCTGTGTAAATATTTTAAAATACAAGATGCTACAAATTCCCATTTTATAAAAATGTAAAAATAATCTGTGTCTTGCGATACATACTTCTTTTAACACGACCGAGATGTACAGTAGCTGCCACAGGACGGCCTCACAGGGCGGAAGCTGAGGGGACGCCTGGGCCCCGAGCTGCCGCTGCGGGGGTCCAGCGGGCCTCTCCCCCACCCGAGCCCCGGAGCCCAGGCGACCTGTCCTCATCGGGAGGGAGATCACCGCCTCTCCAGCGGTGGGAGGAGCCCAGGTGCGGGGGGGGGGCGGGGGAGGGCTCCGGGGGAGGGCCGCCAGTACTCCGGGGTGGGGTAGGCGGGTGTGCAGCCGTCACTGGTCCAGCTCGTTCTCGTTCTGCAGGGTCTTCATCGCGAGCCCCCAGAGCGTCATGCTGGAGAAGAACTGGCCCTCGGAGTTCCGGTAGGCCGAGGAGGCTGTGCGGCCGCCCAGCGGGTCCCCGCAGTGGTGGTCGAGCGCGGCCAGCGAGGAGCGGATCATGGCCATGCTGTCGCCCTGCAGAGGCTCGCTGCCGGCCGGGGCGTCCGCCTCTGAGTAAGCGAACGCCTGCGGCGGGCCGGGCGGCGCCTGGGGCTTTGCCAGCTTCGCGGGGTCGGCGCTCAGTTTCTGCTCACCCAAGCCGGCAGGGTGGAGCATGGAGCGCAACTTACAGCAGGAATCCGCGGCGTGGCTGGCAAACTCCGCCACGGCGTTTTCCACCGGGTGCCCGGGCAGCTTGACCGACACGGGCATCAGTGTGACGGCCACGTCCTGGGCGAAGGAGTCGGCGGGCTCGATGGCCTGGCCCAGCTCGTCCAGCACGTCCGGGCTCGAGGCGCCCGCCCGGCAGTGCATCTTCTTGTGGCGCCGGAGCACGGCGGAGCGGGTGAAGCACTTGCTGCAGACCTCGCAGGTGTACGGCTTCTCCCCGGTGTGCGTGCGCACGTGCCGGCGCAGGTCGCCCGAGCCCCCGAAGCACTTCCCTGCGCATGACAGAGGGAGGACTGAGGAGGGCCAAGCCAGCTGGCACACGCTCACTTGGGGGCTCACTGCACCCGGCTGTGCCCCCCGCGGGGCACGAGTCCTCGAGGGACTCGAGTCCGCGGCCTGAGCCTGCCTGGCGGCCAGTGGGCTGCTCCCACACCCGCCCTCCCGCCTCGGTGCCACCTGAACGCGCCCAAGCTTAACAAGGCCAAACTACACGTGCTTCTGTTCCAGGTGCCCGGAGCTCTACTGCACCGCCATCTCGAACACCTGCTGCCTAGCAACGAGTCAAGGCCTAGGAAAAAGCCTTTAGACAACCAAAAGCAGGCCGGACCACCCCACAGTGAAAGCTCCAGGCAGCTTTCCACTGGAAGCCCTGAATAGCCACTAAAGCCTCTGTGTGTGCTCACTTCCACCACGCGCTCACTTTTTTACTCAAGGCTAGTGCTCTCCACAGCACCACTTCCAGTTTTCTGGGGACTAATTGGAGGTAAGAGTCTCAATGGACTTTCCTGCCTGGGCTGGCTTTGAACTGTGATACTCAGATCTCAGATTCCTGAGTAGCTGGGATTACAGGCGTGAACCACCAGTGTTGTCTTTCAAGTGGGTGCTGTGCTCTGCTTTGTGGTATTTTATAGGTTTGAAGCTTCCTAACCATTTGTAATTGTTCATTCCAGCGATTCCCACTGCTTATGACTTACTACACAGGATTTACATGAACTCCACTGACATCTTTGTCTTTCATTTTGGCTGAGACATCTCCTAACTGCAGATAGCTGGAGGAGGTGAGCCAGCTGTTCTTAGGGACCTTGGTATGCATGAACTTAGCCACAACCAAGTTAGGAGGAGATGGACGGCCTGTGCTCCATGCCTTCATGAACACGAGGGCACGGGTCTCACTGGGGCTGAGGAGAATCTGCACTGAGTTTCATGGGGTCACCCCCCATCAACAAAGCTTGAATCTACAGAGGGCTGGGGCCCCCAGAATGGCGTCCCCCAAAGAAAGCTCAGGTAGCGTTAGGAGCCCATCTGCATCCAGAAGGTGCAGTGTTGAGGAGTGTGAGCAGAGCCGTGAATCACCGGCAGCTGGAGCAGTGCAGATCACTGCGGAGCCTGGAATGGAAGCCATGCCCACAGCACATTTGCGAAGTGAGAGATTTCAGTCACCAACAGCCGTGTCATGTGACTCCATTTACAGAAACTTCCGGACCAGGCAAATCTAAGCAGAACGGTGGGTGGGTGCTGGAAGCTGGATGTGACGAAGGAGAAGTGCTTGCTAATGAGTATGGGATCTCTTTTTTGGGGTGCCAGAAGTTCTGAAATTATACTGTAATGAGTCACACAGCTTGGCGAATGTACAAAAGCCACTATAAAAAGATGAATGTTATGGTATGGGAATGTTATCTCAACACTGTCAAAAACAGTTGAGCCTGCTGTGGGAGGTGGCAACGGCGGGGGGAGGAGGGGGGGATCCATTAGGAGGGTGAATATCAACACACAACAATGGAACCTGCTGAAATGATAAGGAGGAGCAGATAGGAGAGTAATAGAGGGGTGAGAACCATATGCACGTATGGAAATTCATGGTGAACCCCTTGTGCAAACTAGTGTATGTTCATTTTTTGTTGTTGTTTTTACAATTTTTTTTTTGGTCAGTTGTGGGGCTTGAACTCTGGGCCTGGGCGCTGTCCCTGAACTCAACTCAAGGCTAGTACTCTACCACTTGAGCCACAGTGCCACTTCTGCTTTTCTGGTGGTTTATTAGAGAGTCTCACGGACTTTCCTGCCCTGGCTGGCTTTGAACTGCAGTCCTCAGATCTCAGCCTCCTGAGTAGCTAGGATTACAGGTGTGAGCCACCAGCGCCCAGCATAGCTGGGGAGGGTGGCATGGAGGGGTGGAGTGCTTGCCTCGTATGTGCCATCCCTGGACTCCATCCCCAGCGAACAGACCAGGAACAAATAAAAGCCACAAAACCCCTGACCCTGTCCCGTAAGAGCACTCCTATTCCTTTTATCCCCCGACTGCCCAAAGCTGACCTCTGTCCAGAGCTGACCAGCAAGCAGCTGCAAGTCCCAGCCATGAGGGAAAGGCCACTGAAATCAAGCGGCGGTTGTGTTCGTTATTGAGAACGGGCATGTTAGCTCCTCGAGGCTGTGTGGCAATTTACAAGAAGAAACGTGGTGGCAGGTGCGCCTGCCTCTGCATACACGTGGCGGGGAGATGGCATCCTGGTGCCTCGGGGCGTGCTCTGCGCTTCCACCCGCGCTGGGCTCCACAGTGCTCGCGGCATGCTTCTTTGCTGGCTTAGACCCTCACTGCTCACCTCGCTCATCAGCATCCATGCATGGGTACCCGTGCTGTCCCACGCGCCTGTGCTGGCACACATACCTGGCTGCCCACACCTCCTCGGCCGCTGTGCACACACCCCAGGGGTGCAGTCTCTGTATCTGTGCACATGCACCTGAGCCAGAGCAGCCAGGCCCTGCTCCCCCTCCCTTCCCAGACTGGTGCCCCAGTGGGGCCTTTGCTTTCTAGCCCATGGCCCTGAGAAGCCCACCCCCGGCTGCACTGCCCGCCTCCTGGGCACAGCAGGATGTGGCACACAGCGGCTGCTGCACACCAGCTCTGCAGCGCCACCTACGGCCCACCCATCCCCATGGGGCCCTCACACACTGCTCACACACTGCGCGTGGGGCTGGGTGTGAAGGCAGGAGTGACTGCAACCATGGGAAGGGGGAGGGAGCGACAGGCTCACTTCCACCTGACCTGAGCGCAGGGGGTGGGGCAGAATCAGTGACCTAGGGCTGACACGAGCAGGCGGTGGGGTGGGGAGGCTCTGGGGCAGCTGCCTGGGAAGGGGGTGCAGGGGTGCTTACCACAGGCCGAGCAGCTGTAGGGCCGCTCCCCGGTGTGCCGCACCCGGTGCTTCACCAGCTTCCTCTGCATGTTGAAGGACTTGCCACACTCGTCGCAGGTGAACACCTTGTCAGCTGTGTGTGTCTTTTTGTGCTCCTTCAGGTTGCTGAAGTTGCTGAAGCCTAGAGAGAGCACAGCAGGTGAGCAGAGGCCGGGCCACGGCGGTGCGCGCGGCAGGCAGCGCCTGGCTTTACCTCGGCCGCAGGTGTCGCACAAGTGGGGCTTTTCTCCCGAGTGGATGATGATGTGGCGCTGTACATCCCCAGAGGCTGCGAACCTGCAATGAGGCCAAGAGCTCTAGTAAGAGGCTGCAGACGCTGCCGAGGAACTCCACAGCTCGGCCACAACTGCAGGGGAGAGGAGCTGCTCCCCCTCCACGGCACAACCACTCACACAGGACCCCGTGTCACCGCAAACGTGCTTTTAACATCTTCCCTCTCTTCCGGGAAACCACAGGAGGTGGGGGGGGGGGAGTAGGGAAAATGATACAAGTGTTGGTTTTTCCTCCCTGGCCTCTCCACACTCAGGGCAGGCACGAGGCGACCGAGCCTCCTCATTAGCTCAGGAGCTACCAAGACCGCAGCAGTCTCTGTTCACAGAAAATGAGGCCTGTGGTTCTGTGGTCCTTCCAGGACACCAGCAGCTCATGGGGCACACTTGCAGCAGGTGAGCAGGATGACCCAATAAGCACCCTAAAAACAGCCCGGGGTGAGCTTGACCCCCGCGTGGCAGTAAGCCCTCACAGCAGGGAGGAGCACACGTGGGAGCCCTGGAGTCTGAGAAGCCAGGATGTAGCAGGAGCATAAAGGTTTCTGGGAAGAGCAGCTCCTCCTGCACCCCGAGGAGCACTCGCCCTCCGGGAGCCACAAACATCCATCCTGCAGCAGAAGAATGAAGAGAAGTGAACGGGAGGAAGCGGCGGTCACGGAGCAGCTGCCGCAGGTCAGGGACACGCCACCGGTCTCACCCTGCCAGATGGAGAAAGCCAATGTACAGCGGGCATCAGCTCCATCAGCAAGGGACTCCAACACAGGCCCAGGCAGACCTGGTGAATGACACCCCGACACGGCCTGTGGTGATGTTCTACTATCGAAGGCAGTCCATGGTGAAGTGACATCACCAGATGAAGCCCATGAACAGACACCATCAGAGGTAGTCCATGATGAAGTGACATCACCAGAAGAAGCCCAGGAAGTGACATCATTGGAGGCAGTCCATGGTGAAGTGACATCATCAGACAAAGCCCATGAAGTGACATCATTGGAGGCAGTCCATGGTGAAGTGACATCATCAGACAAAGCCCATGAACTGACACCACTGGAAGCAGACCATGCTGATGACATCATCAGATGAAGCCTGGGAAGTGACATCATCAGAGGCGGCCCATGCTGGTGACATCATCCGACGAAGCCCGTGAAGTGACATCATCAGAAGCAGCCCAAGTGATGCTATCTGAGCAGGGTGAGCAGAGGATTCTGAGCTTGCCTCAGAAAAGCAGAAAGAGGAATGTGGCTGGCTTGGCAGCTTCCATCCTGTTGTTTTCTTCTATCAGTAAAGACAGGTGCACTCCAGCACTCCTGGCCTGGACTCAGGAGACATGTCTTGCCCTGCCACGCCCAGGGTGGATGTTACACATGGTGGGAGAACTCTGATTCTAACTGTTCGCTCACTGGTCTGACCTTGAGACTCTTCAGTATGAATTTGTCTGAGGCAGAGAACCTGGACAGTTGGTTTATTACTGTTTTTATTACGCGCACATTAGTTACACAGGGGAGATTGCATTGGTACATTTCCACTCATCTTTCTAATATATTACTAGCAATTTTAGAAAATAGAACAGGTTTTCTGGTCCTATTTGCACAATTACAATCTACCTCTTTATTAGTCCAACTCCTTCCTATTACCCTACTTCCCCCTCCCCCACCAAACAGAGCCTGTTCTCTTTCCCTACACTCCCACGCCCCTATTGATGAACAGCTTTCATTCATGTCGGTGTGGGGAAGGGGGGAGCTTGAATTCAGGGCCTTGCACTCATGTTCAGCTTTTTCACTCATAGCTGGTGCTCTACCACTTGAACCATACCTCTAATACAGCAATTTTGCTGGCTAGTAGGAGATAAGAGCTTCACAGACTTCTTCCCAGACTGGCTTCACAACTAGATCCTCAGATCACAGCCTCTTGAGTAGCTAGGATTACAGATGGGAGCCATCTTCAAGGGCTTCACTGAAGCCCTTAACAGTGGCTGCACATGCTTACAATGTGTTTCCTAGAGATCCACCAGCACAGCGCTGAGCATGGGCAAGCATGGCAAACAAAGAAGGAATGAGCAAGACAGGCGACAGATACAGCTGGTGACCTGGTCTTGGGTGCCTGTGGTCTAACAGTGCCTACACAGCGTGGTGCCCAGCCTCAGACACCCAACCAAGTAAGGCCGGTACAGGAGGGCCCTGGCACAGGAGGCACAGGCCACGCCACACCACACTGTACAGGGGTCAACTGCCACACCGCTCACACACCTCAAGAAGCAGATTCTACGGTGCCAGGTCGACTCTCACATACGGGATTGAAATGCAGGCAGCAAGGACGTGGGCTTTGCTCCGTGCTAGGAGCTCACAGCCTGTCTGGAAATCATGGCTCAGGCACGTCCGTCACCTCCTGAGGTCTAGTCGCTCAGGCTGCACATGCCATTCCCCTCCAAGACACTCCCCGCCTTGGGGCAGCTACCTACTCCATGGGCGTTTGGACTCAGTATAACACTGTTTGGTATAAGCCCCATTCCCTCCCTAAGCTTCCCCCTTACTCTCTTGTGGGTCGTGCGAGAGGGTGTGAATGCACCTTCGCTCCGTATTGGCTAATGGTGGCAGAACACTGAACAGACAGGCAGACCACAGAGGTCTGTCGATGCATGGCAGCCCAAACCCAGCACTGACCTCTTTCCACAGATCTCGCAGATGTATGGCTTTTCACCAGAATGCCGACGTAAGTGAGTCTGCAAGTTACCTGCCTGAAAAAACAGGAAAAGAGAAGCACACAGATAATGAAAGGGGGCTGGATTTGGTTCTATGAAGTTATACTGATTCAAAAGGAAAACGGACAGATTTTTGCCAGGCTTCCACCTGACTTCAGATGAAGACCACAGAGTGCAGGCCTAAAGAGGCCGGCTGAGGACAGCTAGCCCACCTTGGCCAGCCTCCGCTGCAGAGCCCTGGCTGGGGCCTCACCTACATGGGTCACTCCATGGCCCCTTCCTTGAAAATGGGCCCAGCACCCTGGCGAGGGGGTGTCTGTCCTCAGGCCTGTATTTTAAACAGACTATGATATCTTCATTTGGGTATCTATATACAACATCATTTGGAAAAATAAGAAGTACTTGGTACATGTTTTGGTTTTGGTTTTTCTGAAAAGCATGCTGTTGGGCTGAGAAGGTGGCTCAGTGGTAGAGTGCTTGCCTTGCACGCATGAGGCCCTGTGATCAATTCCTCAGCACCACATAAGCAGAGAAAGTCGAAGTGGTGCTGTGGCTCAAGTAGTAGAGCGCTAGCCTTGAGCTGAAGAGCAAGGGACAGTGCCCAGGCCCAGAGTTCAGGCCCCACAAATGACAAAATAAGATAAAAATCACGCTATGTTCATAGAAGGGAGAACTTTTCCACAAAGCGTTGCCCTGACATTGCAGGTTGCTTCTGCCCAGCAGGCTTGTCATTTTTACCTCTGTACAAGATGCAACTCAGAAGAAGCACAGTAGTGTTTTGGGGCTTTTGTGTTTACTTGGTCAAACTAGCAGGCTTTGCAAAAAATAACACTGAAATAGAGAACACCAAATTGATGCCTTTTTTTTTTTTT